TCCCCTAGAATGAGAAGAACATCTTTCTTTGGTGTCAGTTCTAGAAGGTGTTGTAAATCTTCATAGAATTGTTCAATTTCAGTCTCCTCAGCAATGGAGGTTGGTGCATAAACTTGGATTATTGTGATGTTGAAAGGTCTGCCTTGGATTTGTATTGACATCATTCTATTATTTTTGAGATTATATCCCATTACAGCTTTTCTCACTCTTTTGTTGACTTTGAGGGTTACTCCATTCCTTCTACGGGATTCTTGCCCACAATAGTAGATATGATAATCATCTGAGTTGAATTCACCCATTCCTGTCCATTTTAGTTCACTGATGCCCAGGATGTTGATGTTTATTCTTGCCATCTCCTGCTTGACCACCTCCAGCTTACCAAGGTTCATAGATCTTACATTCCAGGTTCCTATGCAGTATTTTTCTTTGCAGCATTGGACTTTCCTTTCACTTCCAGGCACGTCCACAGCTGAGTGTCCTTTCGGCTTTGGCCTAACCACTTCATTAGCTCTGGAGCTACTTGTACTTATCCTCCGCTCTTCCTCAGTAGCATGTTGGACGCCTTTTGACCTGAGGGACCCATCTTCCAGCATCATATCTTTTAGCCTTTTGTTTCTGTTCATGGGGTGTTCTTGGCAAAGATAGTGGAGTGGCATTGCCAGTTCCTACTCCAGGTGGATTGAGTTTATTCGGAACTCTCCACTATGACCTGTCCATCATGGGTGGCCCTGCACAGCATAGCCCATAGCTTCTCTGAGTTACTCAAGCCCCTTCGCCACAACAAGGCAGCAATCCATGAAGGAGTACCTATGTCATTACCTCTCTGCAAATAATTATGTTCACCATTTTTATAGTACTTTTTGCTTTTCTCACACTAGTTTGTTTACTTAAGATAAAGAAAGGACCGCTTTCATGTTGAACGCATAATCAAGGGTCTGTGACCTATGTTCCATGCTCCTTCAGCCACAAAGGTGAAATCATGCAGAACCATATCATAACTGTAGCTCAGGGATCTCCAAACCTTTCAGTGAGAGGGTCACATCATACAGGCTCCACCTTTTTGAGGGGCGAAAGAAGACGCACATGCATGCACACATACACCCACATGCACACACACCTGCACACATGCACACATGCCTGCACTCCCTCCCGCCCACTCACCTGCCTACTGGGCCAGATAAAAGAGCAAGTCAGGCCAGATGTTGCCCATGGGCCATAGTTTGGAGACACCTGCTGTAGCCCATCACTGAACCATAAGGTAATAAAAGCAGGCATATTTGAACAAATCTTTGTTTTCCTGTCTAGAGAAGTTTGCAGCAGTTGTTTCAATCTTAGACAGTTCACTTCTGTCTATGTACTGCAATTCCTAAGAATTGTTTCTGAACAAATAATATTGTACTGAGTGTTATCACCATAAAATGAACTGGATCTATTATTATTATTATTTTGGCATGAGATATGTAATTTCATTTGAGGGCTACAACATATATATATGTAAACTTGAATTATCAAGGTATTAGACCAGTAATTATAGTGTCACTGTAGTTTGTGAGAATGCAGTCTCCTTAGTATAATCAGTTGCTGTGTGGAAGTATGTACTGTAATTGATGAGTGGGACCTACAAGCAAACTTTTGTATTATGAGGACTACTCTTTTTCATTGGGATTCCCAGTTTGGTGTAGTGGATAGAGTGATGGACCAGGACTCTGAACAGGGTTCAAATCTCCACTTAACCATGGAAACGCATGGGGGGGAGGGGCTGGAATTGTTAAAATCACTCCTTAAATCTCACTTACCTTGAAAGCCCTATTAGGATCACTATAAGTCAATTCTAACTTGACAGCATATAAAAGACGGTTCTGACTTGAGAGCAGAGAACACACACACTCGTCTTCATAGTTTCTGCAGGGCACCCATGTCTTCCTCCAAGATACAAGCATACTGTGGGATAGTATCCAACCCTGTGGTTCCCACAGGTACCTTTGTACCCTCAGAAGCATGCCATGAGAATTAGAAACCAACTCCTTGGCTCTCCTCCAGTTCCACATAGTTTTGAGCATGAGAAGTGGCTACCACAAAATCTTATGAGCAGTCTTAGCAGACAAGAAAAATAGGAAGCTGTGGGTAAAAGTTGCATAGATAAGAAAGAAAATGTGGACACACTTTCCCAGAAGACAGCCAGAAAGAGGTGGGAGGAAAAAAAGCAAGCAGTTAGTGTTTTGTTTTGTTTTTTAAAATACCAAGAGAAAGGGAAGAAAAAGAATATAAGATAATGACAAAAAAGGAAAACAAGGGATTGCTCTCAAGATTTTGTGGTAGGGTCCTTGGCCCAAAATTTGTTATTGTAAGGAGGAGTTCAAGTAGGTGTAGAGTTCAAGGTGTAAAGAGTTCAAATAGAACTTTTTGAAGCCTGAAGAAATTTGAATATGACCTTCTATCCCCATGTTAAGGTCTTTGTTATTGTTTTCCTTTGAACATTCTGCAGTTACTGAAATTGTTCATTACTCAGTGAGCTTTTCCACTGGTTTTTAAAAATATGTGTGCTAATTTCAGCATTTCTATAAGCAAGTTGTTAACTCCTCTTGCTCCTCTGTGTGTCATTTTGGCATAATTTCAGCCAGTATTTTCCACGTGAGTTCACTCTCAGAGAGACTGATGCAGCATTATAAATTTTCCAGCACTATCTTTACTAGACAGGGCCAGAACTCCCTATAAAATACCCTACAAGGACACCTTAGGGAAACACTTAAGAGTCTTTTATAAAATTAGGTTATTTCAATTAGATTTTTTAAGGTTATGGTTGAGCCTCTTTTCATTTGTTAATTAGTGTTACAGAATTGCAGCATTTCATGAATATTAAAAAAGAAGTAGGGATTATTGTATGAATGATTAGACTATATGCATTGTCTCAGTTATTTAGCATCAACATATTTGGATAATTTTTTAAAAAACGTGAACAGTATTGAGAATATTTCTCTCAAAAGCTGTAATCCTAAACTATAGACCTATATCCTCACCTTTTTTCAGTCTCATGCACAACAGCAAAAATATATTTTCTGTGGTTTTCACAAGAATGCCACATTTTTATTGTGCAGATAACAAACCATGCAAAACTAAAATAGCTGCTGCTTAGTCGCATGGGCTTTTATGAACTGGAATCATTAGATGGGTGATTAGCATCTTCTTTGAATACTCATCCGGTCTTCTGTGGTTGCTGTGGCTGTTTTACTTCTCAAAGGGAAAGAAACCAGTTATCTACAAATTACGAGACAGTATGAAACAAGAGATCCTTGTCGATCTCCTTTTGGAAGCGAGGTATCTCATGAGGTTCAAAAAAGTACCTCATCTGTCAAGACAGCCTTGTCTGATGAGCGTGAGGGATTTGTGAAGAGTTTTCACACAGCTATTCCAAACATTGTTACCTGGAATTTGGTTCCCAAATCCATTTGGAAATAACTGTGCATTGGGAAGAAGGGTAGTTGCACAGTTTTCCTCTCCTACAGGTTCTCTTTCATGTGATCAAATGCATGGCCTGTTTTGTGCCTGGTTTCACAACTGGTGAAAGTAAGGCTATGCAAAGGAGAATCAGGTGAAAGAAAATCCTTGTGTGATTGCCTTCACATGGTTACAATAATGAATACATGATTGAATAGACAATAATCTATTTCTGTGTCTATGAATAGGCAGAGACGTGTGAGATTTATTACAAGTAGATGATTAAATGGATGAGTTATAATCAGTTACTATTTGGATAAAACAGTACAGTACTTCTTTTGTACGTAATGCATGCATGCATCTCAGCAGATGCTACTTCAGAGGTGAACTTAGCTTTTGTGTGGAAGGAAAGGGGAAACGTCTCTTCTCAAAAGGTGCTGCTATATGCAGTGTAAGAAACCTACATATTAAAACAAGAGTTTAAAAATATAATTTGTAATGAACTGGGAACTTCATTTTTTGATCAAATATTTTTAATTGATTAATCTCACTAATCAGCCAGAACAATGCAGCCCTATTAACAGCTAAACTGAATGAAATAATGAAAAACTCATTTCAGAGCAGTGTATTCCAAACTAGAATATTATTTCGTTTAAAAAGCTTTTTATTTCTACACATAGTCTGTTTACAAAAGTACAGTTATTGCATAGGAACAAAAAACAATTGCTACTGTAACCAGATTATGTTGATGGATTTATATTTGCTGTTAATCTAAAGGCAACACATTTAAATCAAAATATTTTCTAAAAGCTACTGGGGATAATACTAGCATGTAAACAATTACATAGCTAACAATGATACTGTACTTTATGATTGCTTAGTGACCTTAGTCTCTAGTAATAAGCAGGATTTTGGTAGGTGTATTTTGCTTTATGGTACTTAAAGTCAGCTGCAAGTGCCCTGTGTGGTGTAGTCTAGTGGACAGAGTGAGGGACTAGGACTATGCAGAACAGGGTTTGAATCCCTGCTTTCGTAAACAATTACATAGCTAACAATGATACTGTACTTTATGATTGCTTAGTGACCTTAGTCTCTAGTAATAAGCAGGATTTTGGTAGGTGTATTTTGCTTTATGGTACTTAAAGTCAGCTGCAAGTGCCCTGTGTGGTGTAGTCTAGTGGACAGAGTGAGGGACTAGGACTCTGCAGAACAGGGTTTGAATCCCTGCTTTGCCATGGAAACTTACCAGGGAAGTGGAACTGGTAAAACCACTCCTTAAATATCTCATTTACTTTGAATCGCTGTTAGAGTCACTATAGTTCAGTTCTGACTTGGCAGCAGATAACGGTAACAAAATCAGCTGCAGAAGCTGGCATATGGTAAATGCTGTAGGATATAAGTATTCAGAATGTCAGTGCCATCACACTACAATAGAAGCAAATCTTGTTGACTCTGAAACATGGCTTCCTTGTCATTCACGTAGAGTGTGCCTGGTCTATTTCACAGATATACATTACATTTGTGCCTATGAGTGAATGTTGTTATTTTAACTGGATTATTTTTAGATGCTCCACCAACTGGTCAGGTACACAGTGTGAAAGACCAGCTCCCAAGAGCAGCAAATCTGACAATATCAGTACAAGTAAGTTCATTTCTTTTAAAATAGTAACAGCATTTAAGCTGATATTAACTATATACCCTGTTTCTCCAAAAATAAAGACCTAACCTGAAAATAAGCCCTAGTATGATTTTTAGGATGCCCGTACTATAAGCCCTATCCCCAAAATAAGCCCCAGTTAAGTGAAACCCCTCCACCATTGTGGAGCAACCAGAAGAAGATGACATGACTGTATTTGAATAAAGGTAGATTGTTGTACATGAAAAGAAAGAAAAATCCCCTGAAAATAAGCCCTAATGTATTTTTGGAGCAAAAAATAAGAACCATTCTTATTTCAGGGGGAAACACGGTATATATCTTATTTTGGTAATAGGGAGATTCACTGTCCCTTTCTAGTCCATGTATAAATGTGGACAACTCTTGTGTGAAACACATGATCATTTGAAAGAGAAAGTGGGCAGTATGTGGGAAGAAAAGGAGAGCAAAAGTAAGAGGTGATACTGAATAAATACGATTGGCTGTTTTTGGGTGGTTTCCATTAGGGAAGAGAAAGTAAGTTCTGTTGCATCTGGTGAGCCAACACTAGATGCAGGGCATAATTTCTATCCCAGCTTTCTACCAAAAGTGGCACTCCAAACAACTATAAATAATACTACCCTGTTTCCTCGAAAATAAGACCTAACTGGAAAATGAGCCCTAATATGATTTTTCAGGATGTTAGTAAGACCCTACCCCAAAAATAAGCCCCAGTTAAGTGAAACCGCACCTTCCACCAGCGACTCATTGTGCAGCAACCAGGAGAAGATGACATGACTATCTCTTAATAAATGTACATGAGCAAAATAAAACATCCCCTGAAAATAAGCCCTAATGTGTTTTTTGGAGCAAATATTAATATAAAACCCTGTCTTATTTTCGGGGAAACAGGGTATTCAGATAAAAACAGAAAAAATAAAACATAATACAGATGAAAATGCAAAGCACATCAGTACAACAAAATAGCAGCACTCAGCAGTTAAAGTTACTTGGAAAAGCAATCCAGCTTAAATGCTGAAGGGCTTTCTGAATAAAACTGTTTTCCTGTTGGAGGGACAACAGAGATGGAGCCAGCCTAGCTTCCCTTTGTAAGATGTTTCATAGTCTAGGAGTGGTGTCTGAGGGGCCATCTCAATCAAATGTGCCCCTGATCATGGCAGGACCAAGAGAAGGGGTCCCACAATGGCTGTAAAATCTGGGCTGGCTCAAGTGGGAGGACAGCCTGATACTGATTCATATAAGAGTTTTACCAGAAACAAGTATGGGTGAGAATTTGTTTGCTTCATGTTTTTATACACACTTCCCACAGTTTTCCAAAGTTTTCTGTAAGGATGACCCATCCTTCCCTTATACAATCATTGTCCATTATACTGAGTTGTTATATTTGCCTCTTCCAGCTCAGGAGCCCTTAATTACCTTAAAAGCTCCTGCTACATTAATCAACCCTGTCTGCTTTTTACTTCTGTTAATATGGGACAACTTCCAGTTACACCTATATCTTGTCATGTCCACTTATTTTGATGCTTCTTCAAATCCTGGTTGTTGCTGTTATTGTTATCAATGTTTTGCTTGAACTCTATAGGTCATGGTACATATTAGATAGCGGCACGTTTGCAGAGCCATTTTTCAAAGTCCTTGCCATCTACTGGCACTGCATTAACTCAACTGTCTCTGTTTGTTACAGGAAGTATTGCAATCATTGTTCCACTTGTACTGTTGGTGACTTTGATTACTACTTTGGTAATAGGTTTGCTTCTTTGTAAAAGAAAACGAAGGTAAGAAATTTGCCCATGAAAGAATACTATGCATGTCTAATTTGATACCATGAAGGCACTGCTAAAGCTTCTACCTTACACGTAACACTGAAGATAAAAAGAAAGGAAGGCCTTCATCTATGTGCGTGCCTATTTCCTATTCAATAAGGAACTAAACAGAATACTCTATTTTCAGAGCTGATCGCCACATGATGGGAAACATATCAAACCCATGAAATAGCAGGCCAGAGTTGTTGAATTTGTTTATTTAATAACGTGTACAGGGCAGAAAAATAAGGAGGTTCAAGGCATGATCCAAATGAAAATTTCCCCTTCCAAGATTCTCATTATGAAAAAAATGCCACTGCATACTTTTTTTGTTTTAGTTTTTGGAGCTAGTACCAGTAGAAAACAGAAATGAGATGAAGCATTTTCATCAAGACCCTATCCCTAATTTGATCAGGGGGCAGGGGGCACATTCCTTTGGGAATGTAACCAGGGAGGGAAAGATATACAGTATTTATTGTTAAATAAACACCTTGATGTGTTCCTTCAGTTTCACATTTTGTTTCACCATTAATAGAAATACCAAATTTGTCTTCCCAGTTGCAGTCACAGTTTTTCCTGCCAAAGAGATTCCATATAAGTTATGTCAACTGACTCAAAGCTGAAAGACATTAAAAAGCCATATGGCCCCCCCCCCCCCGATATCAGGTACATTAAAGAAAGGTAGCAAAGATTCAGACAGTCACAGATTTTCATTTAGGCAAAGTCATTCATTATAAGGCTGTGAATGGCTACCCATTTAAAACTCCCAAGTACTAAACCATTGAATACACAGGGCTGCATTGTCTTTTGTTACTAGAAATGCCTGTACTCCATGGTTTCTTTCTCAGGAATTTAATTGTTCACAAGAAATAAACCACGGAGTACTTGGGGCGCAGTTGCAAGAGACACCACAGCCCCTCGGGTACTGCATATTGCCCTTCGGTAAAGCTAATCTTGTGGGAGAAACCAGAGTACTGAAATGCACCTTACAGGCCACAAATAAGACCGTCTCCATTGGTGGGCTACTTGGGGAGGTGACAGGAGTGTAAAGAAGTTACATTTCAAAAGTGGGGGCATTAATTTTGTGGATGTGTAGCAAATGCTGTTTTTAATTATTTAAAGAGCATTTTAAGGCGTCCCAGAGGCATGATTTCTGCTAGCATCTTATTAATATATTTTGTTTCCAAATAATTTAGTGAAAAAGTAATGAGTAAAGCAATGTAACAAGTTACTAAATGTTGTTCTCTTATTTTGATGGTAACAAATCACCTTTTTTCACCCATTTATTTATTTGTTTGTTTGTTTAGCACAATATTGTACTTACATAATGTAAAATGTACTTTGTAAGTTAAGAGGGAAAACTTTTTAAGAAGAAAGATGGAGTAAAATATTTTAAATCAAATAAATAAAAAATAAATACATGCATACATAAATAAAACAAAGACAAAGGGTGATGAGCTAGACGTTCAAAAATGCCATTGTATGGCAAAGAAAAAAAGTTTCAGCAGGAGGGGAGCCCAATTCTTTAGAGGACTTTGGGAAGACTTAGAGGTTTTATTTGATAACTTGCATTTTATACTTGGCAGCTTTCATTTCTAAAACTATTGATATTTCAGCTTCTTTCTTAATGATTTTGCAAGTATAAGAAAAAGCTAGAGCTTCCAAAGGAATAAGATCACAAGGAATGAATTGCAAATTGTGAATTATCAAAATGATTTAGGGCAAGGCATTTGTTACTCTGTTGAGAGGAGTAAAGTATCAAAAGGGAAGGGCAGAGATAAGACTGTATCAATCAAGACAAAAACTACCACAGTTTTACCACCCAAAGCAAAGAAAAATTGGTAGGTTTTGCATTTCTTTAAAGAATGAAGGGACTGAATGTTGGCAATTCATTGAACGGATTACACGAAAAATAAGAATAAGATCAAAATGTTAAAAATACAAATCACACAAAGCTGTGCAAGATTAACAAGGAACATGGTGACGTTTTGGAAAGACGTAGAAGACGACTGAGGCCAGGAAGGCCAGGGAGAAACTGGTGTGCCAAATAGATAGCTGAAAATAGCTTTCAGTACTTTCTTATATTAAATTATATTACCCAAGAGAGAATCTAAATCATAATAAAGGAACAGAATCCTGATGGGCCCCTTCATGCACTGCTGTGGACTCTCCATAAACACCTGGCTGGAGATTTGGGGAACATTATTTTGATAGATAATCTTTCGTTATGATTCAATGTTGCTTTTCTTTCCCCTGGAATGGGAGATGGGGATGCAGCAGGAAAGCTTTTGCACTGAAACAATGAAAGTAAAACATGAACGTGTAAATACATGAATAAACAGTTGATCTTTTTCATTTGTAAATGAGAATTTTGTATCATCTTACCTGGATCAGATTCTCCCCTCCCCTCCCCATGCACAATAACGCTTTTTGGCATCACAGATTGGGCTCCCCTGCAGAAAAAGTTTTACTGTTTTTAAAATATGTGTCCTACTTACAGTGTTGGAGTTGCTCACTGTTTTTCCCCTGTATTTATTTGTAGGACAAAAACAATTCGACGACAACCAATAATAAATGGAGGAATCAATGTAGAAATTGGAAATCCGTCATACAATATGTATGAAGTGGGGCATAATCACAATGAAAGAGGTCTTTCAGATTTTACATTAAATCCAGAAAAGGTAACATTAAATATTTGCTTTACTTCCTAATTTCTCATATCAATAAATACATATTATTTAGTTATAGTGAAATATTATCATTAGATGTGATCCAGTAGTACAGTCGTGCCCCGCTTAACGATTACCCTGCATTATGACGAATCTGCTTCACAATGATGTTTTTGCAATCGCAAACGATGTTTTAAATGGGTTTTTTTCGCTTTGCGAAGATCGGTTCCCTGCTTCGGGAACCAATTCTTCGCATTACGACGATCAAAACAGCTGATCGTTGGGTTTTCAGAATGGCTGCCAGGTGCTCAAAATGGCTCCCCGCTGTGCTTAGGGATGGATTCCTCACTATACAGGCACCAAAAATGGCTGCCGTATGGAGGATCTTCGCTGGACAGTGAGTTTTTAGCCCATTGGAATGCATTAACTGGGTTTTAATGCCTTTCAGTCGGTTTTTTATTTTCGCTTTACGATGTTTTTGCTCTACAGCGATTTCGCTGGAATGAATTAACGTCGTTAAGTGAGGCAACACTGTATAAATTTCCCATTGTGGAAGCAGCTCTGATCCAAAAAAGTAATGACACAGGTAGGTTTCAGCTTTTGCTGATTCACTCCTCTAAGCAATTTCATGACCACCCTTCAAGCTGTTCTGAGGGGAAATTGATGATAATACCTCTCCTCACTTCTGCCTGAAAAAAAACTATTTGGACCAAAGCATCTAGAATGGAAGGATTCCTCTGAATCCAACACATTGTTCTTATATTCCTTATCTATTAGATTTCTTCAGTACACACAGGTGATAACCATAAATGCTTGAATGAATTGTATGTTATATATTCTAAAAATGCAGTTGATATCTTTCAAATGTATAGTAATTATAAGTTGTTTATAATATATGTTATTTTAAATTTAAGAATCTTAATCATTACTTGTCTGCAAATATATTTCCTTATTAACAATTTCAGTAGAAATTGTGTTGTTTTATCTAATTCATGTTGAAGAACATCTTTACGGAGAAATCTTTTGCCTCTTGATTTTTTGGTAAGGCTGTCCAAATACATGCTTTGTTTATTGGACATTGTACAATCCCCATATTGTTTTGTTTCAGTGATAGTGCTGGTATGAAAACAAGCAGACAAAACACTACTGATCAAACTTAAAAAAATTTCTTGAACTTTTTACGAATGTGTGTAAAGATAGCCCCCACCTTGCTGGATGGGATTTAACAGTTTGTCAAATCTGGGATTCTGCTTCTAAAAGTAGCCACCAATGAGCACCATGAAGGAGCCACCAAAAAAGAGCATCTCCTGCACTATACAGCATAGCATTGTTTTGTAATAAAGCAGGGATTTGGTTTTAGTTTTAGAAGTGATTTTGTCTCTAATTTGTCAATTAAGCATAATACACTTGGCCTGGTTTTTAGACTATTTGATGAAATGAAGAGTGGCTAGGCTAACGAGCTTGAATTGAAATGCTTCCTGTATTGATGTCATGCTGGGTCTAAGAGGCCATTGATCTGAATGTTACATTTTATTTATGTTTTACGTGTTTATATAAGAAAAAGCCAAAATTAATGAATACATTTGCACTCATTGCTTGTTCAACAGCACTTGAAAGTGCAGAATTACAATGCTCTGTTTTAAAATATATCTGAAAAACCAAAAACTGAAATTTTTTTAAAAAATGCTCTATTTAAATGCAGGCCAGGTATGTAGGGGGAGGGCCCACAGTCTTCAAGCTTTCCCACCCACCACCGCCCATCTACTTAAACTCTGATCTGAAAGGACCTCTGACGCCAGGGGTGAGAAAACAGCAGTTCATTTTTCATGTTCATTCTACCTTAGTCCCTACTGAGAGTTAACATGTCAGTAACATTCACTGAAGTTGTGTGTTCTTTTAAAAGCTGCTTTAACATGATTTTTTTAAAAAAGTAGAAACGAGGGCTTTAAATATGTAAGAACCGTGCATATTATGTTATGTAAATAGCTGCCAGAAAGTAGCCTGTACAGCCTCAGGACCATAGGAGCTTCCCTTGAATGCCAGCCAGGGCTTTTGGAGAACAGATTTTTGTCGAGATCATGAGAGGAAGCTATGAGTTTCCCTCCCTCGTACTCTGGTGACTCTTCAGACTCCTCTGCTGTTGCTTTTTGTGCGATTAAAAACATGTCTATTAATTATATTTACTCAATTAATGCCACCTCTGCTGAGACCCTGGAAAGAGAACAAAATGAGTTTGATATTTGTTGTCATTCAGCATTAGCAAAGGAGTCAAAAATTAGAAGATTCAGGCTATGTATTTCCTTTGACTGCAGCTGAGAACTTGGCCTAATCTCTGTGTTGGGGAAATGTTAGTTAACAGCGCTGGACAAGAAGCTTAATATAGTAGTGCCAAAGGCAGAAACAAAATGGAGTCCTCAAGGATGTGTAGAAGATAAATTGATTCATGTTGAATCTTATAACTGAATAGGTCTAAGATGAGTTTATTCTCTTCTGTGTATCCTTTTGCTCTCCTTTGCTTGAGTATCCCCTCAGTCCCTGTTTATATCTAGTCTTGTATTATTAAAAAGATTTGCAAACGTATGCAAGAATATTTAACACAAATACAGCAAAGATATTTTTAATTGGAATTGGATGGGGGTTTTTTTTCAACTGTTTTGGCACAAACATGTGCCAAAATGGCATTCAGCTGTTTAATAGAAAGGTAAGACCAAAAAACAACCCTAAATTAGTAATCAAATCTTTTGTAACACTAACATTCAAATGAGTGAAAAACTATAGAGAATCATAAAAAACATTTTGTGTGGAAAACAAATTATTATAACCTTTCATTAATATTCAGGTAAACTGGACACTAAATGTTGTTTGTGCCAACAGATAATTCAGTTGTTGCGTTTTCTTCACAGTAAAATGCCACAAACCATGCTATTCCAGGATTAGACTAATATTGTACATGATTTTGAATTCTAATAACCAGCACTAAAAGCTGCAATCCAGATCTCAGGAAAAGTGCACAAGGCACATAATCCAAATAAATCAAACCTTCTAACATATTGCCCAAATCCTCTAATGTAGTTATGCTGGCGAAACACAAAACACACAATCACTGCAGACATTATTGATTGCATATTGCGTTGTATGACTGAGCATGCAGTTGACAGTGTCTTTAGTGATTTCTTCATTTGTGCCAATTTGCATTCAAAAATTACTGTTTATTTGGATCCGTTAGAGGATTTGGGCCAATATGCCTGAAGTAGTGCAGTGAGATATAACTGCTTCCAGCTTGTTCTGTAGTAGTAGTAGTAGTAGTAGTAGTAGTAGTAGTAGTAGTAGTAGTAGTAGTAGTAGTAGTAGTAGTAGTAGTAGTAGTAGTAGTAGTAGTAGTAGTAGTAGTAGTAGTAGTAGTAGTAGTAGTAGTAGTAGTAGTAGTAGTAGTAGTAGTAGTAGTAGTAGTAGTAGTAGTAGTAGTAGTAGTAGTAGTAGTATTGGATCAGCAAATCCAGCCCCTATCAAAGAGGCACAGTGGGGAATCTAACTTGACTCCACAGCCAAAAACCTAAACCACTGATCTCTATAGCAGTACACTCCAGTTTCTCTTCAGATTAAACAAATCTTTTTGCCTTTTACTAAAGATTACAATTTTAATCTCTAAATAATGCACTAAAAATCTCTAAACTCTCTTATCAGTGATATTACTATTAATCATCATCTTCATATGCAAGGATGCATGTATTTATATATTTCATTGTACTCATTTGTATTGTGTTATCTGTAACTGAAAATTGTTTTTGCATGCATTACATCAAAATATTGTTCACAAGAGAAAGAAAGAATGGAAATAACTTTGACAAAACAAGGCTAGATAGAATAAGTCAAGGAACAGAAACCATGTATTTGGGCTTTATGTTTTAATTCTATGCTCATATAACCGAAGATAATGGATGTCAAGCCAATTTTATAGCACCTGGTTCTATCAAAAAACCATGTAACATAACCCAATGCCTACTCACACAGAAATAGTTCCTACTGAGTGTAATCGAGCTGAAGTATGCATAAGATCATAGTCAGTAGTATTCTGCCAATAGATAGTAATGACAGTGCCTTCAGGATACCTCCTCTGATCTTCCAAAGCTTGCTGGGGAGGACTAGAATATGTGATACCTGAATGGGAGACAAAACCAAAATTCTATCTGCTTGTTACCAGGCATCTGGAGAAAAACAACACTGCCTGAACTTAGGCAAACAAATCTTGCACCACTCACACAAGCTTTTTGCTTTTTCATTTCCCATTGCCCACTCCAGCTGGGAAGATAGAGTTCACCATAGTCTATCACTTCTTTGGGCCTCTGAGGAAGTTTTCATAGGGTGAAAGGGAGGACGAACAGAAGGATCCGTTGCATAAGCTACCATCCACTGACACAGACTTGGATTTCACTCTGAGCTGAAGTTTATTCAGACCTTTAAAAAACCTCTGACGGATGCATCTGGGATATTGCACTTCTAAGACATAGACATTGGCTAGGTCTTTCTAAATACAGTACCCAAGAAGAAAAGAAAGAAATGGAGGAGGGAGGGAGGGTTGCTTCATATTGCTGCAGTTACAAAAGAATATGTAAAAGCACCTCTCTCCTCTCTCTCTGTCTCTGTCTCTCTCTCTCTCTGTGTCTCTCTCTCTCTCTCTCTCTCGTTTGTCTGCCTCTTTCTCTGACTCCTTCCTCCTTCCCTGTGTCCCTTTCTCTCCTGTGGCTCCATTTCCTACCCCCTCATGGCTCTATTCTCTCTTTTCCTCTATGTCATTCTCTCCCTCTATCTGTTGCTCCTCTCTCTGTGTGTATTTCTCTTGGTACCTGCTCTCTTTCCCCCTATTTCGCTCTCTTCCTGACTCCTCTATCTGTGGCTTCTCTCTTTAGCACCTCTCCTTATCTTAGGCACCTCTCTCTCTCTCTCTCTCTCTCTCTTCTCATTTGGCTCCTTTTCTTTTTCATGGCTCCTTCTGCTAGCTTGCTCTGGCTACCCTGCTTCTCTCTCTCTCTCTAAGCTCTGTGTGTTTATTTCTTCAATAATACTTATTCCTATGGTTAGAAAGCCTCATGGCACAGTGGTTAATAGAGATGGCCATAAACCACTGCTTTGGCGGTTCATGCCAGTTCATTTAGTGGCCAAGCAGGTGCTTCAAAGCCCCACACCTCCAGTGGCTGTCCACTCAGAGGCAGCAGCCTGGCTTTCCGGCCCCACCTCCTCTGGGCACTGCCTCTTAGTCTATGCCTATCAGAGGAAATGGGGCTTTCAACCATCAAACACTTGTTTGGCCACTAAATGAACTGGCACAAACAACTGAACCTGGTGGTTCATGCCCATCTCTCGTAGTCAAACTGCAGTACTGCAGCTAAGACTCTACTCACAACGTGAGTTTGTTTTCTCAGGTAACCAGTTCAACGTTGACTCAGCCTTTCAACTTTCCAAAGTCAGTAAATTGAGAACCCAGATTGCTCCTGGGGACAGTGTGTAGCCTGCATAATAAAATTATAAACTGCCTAGAGAGTGCTACAAGCACTTAGGGGTGGTATATAAGCAGCACACTTTATTTTTGGTAAAGCTGAAGTCTGTCTGTACCTAACATATTGCCCCAAAGAAAGCCCCATTCATTTCAATGAGACTCATCAGTTTTGTAAAGTACCAGCAAGAAGTTCAAGTAATGGCTACAAAATACTCCCTCTTCTAACTCTCTGTGATGTCCTACAGAGTACATCATAGCTTCTGGTACAGTTTTACTTGGGAACTGTAGAAGGGCATTGCTATACATGTTTTCCACAGAAAAATCATACATATCTCACACTTTTAGAAATAAACCACAACAGTTATCAGATGTACCATAGTTCTAGTAAACTTGATTTCATCCCATACTGCATGTCATCAGTTGGATTAAAAGTTGTATTAAAAGTTGTATTTCGTGACATATTTGACAACTACTTAGGCTGTGCCTGAGCCAATGTAATTAATGACTGTGTCCTCATTTATTATGTGCGTTATAAATATTTGTGCATTATAAAATATTTTCTACACTGAGATTGACCATTGTACAATATACTTCTCTCTTTTCAGCCAACAAACTACTCCAATCCAGTGTACACAAAGCTGTACATTGATGGACAAAATTGTCGAAACTCCTTAGCAAGTGTTGACGAAAGGAAAGAACTCCTTCCAAAGAAAATAGATATTGGCATAAGGGAGACTATGGCATAATCCATTGTAACCTTTTGTATACTGTATAAATGTATAAAATATAAGGATTACTTTTCTATGTACCAACAGTATTATAATTGTTTTGTCATCAGCATTATCTCTGGATTTTTTTTTCTGTTCAGTTGGTGGTTTTCTGGGTTTTTGTTTTGCTGATGACTTGACTGACCATTTGTATGGTATTTTTATTAAAAAAAATCTGCACTACAGTACAATTTACAACAATGCTGCTGATATAACACACATTGAATTTGTTAAAAATTTAAAAATACTTTGTAGTGTGAATATGAGCAATCTATTTTGTATGAACTTTTTCTTTGATTTTACTTATCAATGAAAATGATATCTGCACTTTTCCATTATATGGTCCGAAGGCTGTAGTACAGTGTGTGAATTTGTTTCTGTTTTAAATGGTGGAAGTATGATTGGATGGTCTACTCTCTTTGTGCCCATTAGAAACTCACTTCAGAACCTAAAAGTTATAGAAAATCTAATTTCACAAATCAAGCATAATTTGCTTTTACAATTAGCTTTATGTTGGCAAGAAGCTATGAGTATTATAGAAAGCATCTAATGGTCTCCATGAACATAGAATATTCCATTCTGGAGATTCAGTAGATGTCCAAGCTATATTGAACATATATACCATGTAAAAAAAATTCTTCGTACTTAGTTAAACCGTATAGAACTTAGTGATATACAACTTGCAAGGGAAAGGACCTTAACCAATGTGTGATAAGGCCTGTTCTGCAGTCTTGTATACAAAGCCTACCTGGAGCACAAGAGGGCATTGCCTACACACATATTATAGATTTATTTACTCAGTCACACATGTTGTTTATATATGATGAATTCCCCTGGGAAGTAAGGAGAACAAAAAGCCATAAGCACACATATTGATAACAGTGTTCTTAAAAGGAGATGGTAAAACCTCCTGCTTCCATAGAAATATTGTCTGAAATCCAGTACTAAGCTGTAACTAGAGTAGGCCCATTGAATAAATGGAACTTATACAGGAGCTGACTCAACAGATGCCCACTGATACAGTGGGCCTATTCTAGTTATGGCTCACTACTGTATTCAGCCATTGAATCAGCCAGATTGCCATCATTTTATATGTATGGAAAAAGTATTTAAAAACTACAATGGATTAATTTTAATATTTCTTCAACAAACCTCAAAACCACATTCTCAGTAGTGGAGAGTGTTAAATGTAATGGGTTTCCAGCACTTTCTCTGGTATTAGCTTATTTTATGTTGTTATGAAGAATAAAAAAAGAAAGAAAGAAAAAACAATACAATTTGCCTTTTTTTAATTGTGACAAAAATACGTAGTGCAACTTCTCTAGCCTGTTTAACAACAACCCTTGAAATCTTTTATACATAACTTTAAAGGCACAAAAGACTTCACACACCTGTACAGAAATAATTAGAGGGCTTTTCATTCCTCTGCTACATATTACTAGTTTTTAGCTGTCATAATCGATTAATCTAACCGATTAAATATGTTTGTGGTGGCTCTACTCCCTTTGTACAAACATTGCAAAAAATATAACAGCTGTTTTATAAAAGATTTTTGTTGTACTCTGTGCATGCATACTACCTATTTCTAAACTTTGCCATGTTGAGGCCTTTATTAAAAAGAACTTGATTCATGTAATACCAGTGCAGTTTTGCTTGAATAATATCACGCCTATCACAAAACTCCTCAGGTTCTTAAAGATATGTTTCATTTCATTAAAAGGAATATTATTTTTCTTATGTTTCAAAAGAAAAAAGTGGTATATGCTTTGTTAAAATGTTGACTTATTCAAATGAAACTAACATTGTTGTCATTAACACTTTTAAAAAACACAGAAACGTATTACCTAAGCAATGTCATGTCCCGAAAGATAAGAAGATTTGGCAGTAATTATGCTTCCTTTGCATTTTATTGGCTAGAATCCAACTGGTGATTTAAGGGAAACTGGCAATTTGCCACCAAGACTTACGCTATTTCCTCATACACAAGGGTAAATCACCAAAAAGATTCTGGCCATTGAACTATATGGGGCTGCCTTCTGTCTAGAAATGTACTGTGAGCTAAGCAGGTTTGATTTCTTCTTGCTGTGAACAAATGCTGAACCAGACCTTTATTTACAGTTCATACCTCGAAGTTAGTAAATATGGTACTTCCAACCCACATGAGAGAATCCAAATGAGAGAAACCATTTAATGGTTTAAATTCTGCACAGTGAATCCCTCTTAAAAACAATTGAAATCTTACTAATCAGAGATTGCATGTGAAGTAACTGAACTTGGTCTCCCCATACATACCGTACTTCTTAGTAACTCTGCCAAACAGGTCTAAGAGTAAGGTTCATATCGAGCCCTTTTTAAAATTCTGAAGGGTTGTTAAATATAATATTAGGCTGTGAACAAGAATTTGTATCCAGTTAATGATGCAAAGTCAGGATTTTATAGAAACGATTCTCAATCAAGAAGTGGAAATATGTTGTGGAAATGCGTCATATCCAATTACCATGTGCATATTTGTGAATTGCTTATTACGTTACTGATTTCCTTTCTTTTTTTATAAAATAAGTATTCCATTTTTGTTATTATCTTTGCAACGCTATCAGTAGTAAAGCTCAGTCATTTGTTTCTCCCTTTTTTGCCACAACTATTTAATTAGACTGGTACCTGCTTGAATTAGTTCATAACCTTTTGAAGATGTGGTACACATTACATTTGACCTTGTTGCACAACAAGAAATACATGCGTCACCAAATTTGTAATACGTTGTATTTTTTTCCTCATCAAACATTTCCTGTGAATGGCTCAGAATTCATTGCTCTGACCTTCTATCACCTTCCTTTTCCTCAGAATTTAGTGGTTTATAAAAGGAAAAAAATTGCAGTGATAATGTGATTTCTAATAACAATTCAAACTCTTCTGCAGTATGCAGAATACATTCTTGCATGTTTGCCTGAAATATTTAATAAGTGATGAATTCTCATCCACTTTAAGGTGAAAACAAGAAATGTGAACTAACCCATCCACGTGCCTAATAATAGTTGCTCATACAACATCAGGAATAAGAAGATTACACAAACAGAGGAGCTACAATTAATGAAGTTGCTTCGTTAAGAATAGCATATTGCTTGAAAATGCTAAAGACTGATTGGGCCATGCTATTTTGTCTCCTGTTTTACAGAAGAACATTGCAACCTCAGTTTCAGTTGGCACTTATTGCCATTCGGTAACAAAAGTAAAAAGTTAGTGACAGAGTCCTAGGCCCATTGAATAGACTGGATCTTGCCCTCCCCAAGAGTGTAAAACAATTCTAGCCTTTGAAAAAAAGATCCAGCATTAGCAAACCTACAGAAAGTTTAACAGACTTACCTGCCCGACAGCAGTCCTGATGGATAAAGGTCAAGAGAAGATCTGGATGAGAATGATCCAAAGCCTTCCCAGTCATCCCTCTCAGAGTGGGAAACATTTCACCTTGCAATGTTTTTTTTTTAAAGACATTGACCAGATTACTCCTACTTTTGTATGGCAGTGTGTTGCTGTAGTGAATTGCCACTGATGAAGATATCAAGGCTTGGATTTCTCGTTGTGTACCAGTCATATGATTTGCCATGGAATGAAAAACAAAACAAAATCAACTTAATGGCAATTTGCTAGTGTGTTTTTTGCTCTTGGTTTATGCAGTGTATGCCACTGGCAGGGTTTCAGCTGCTAAAGAGACCAAAACTGAAACACATCCACCCCTCCACTTTTGCATATTGCCAGGCTCTTGCAAACAGGGCTTACAATTTGACAGGGGCTTCAGCATTCATGCACTTGACATCAGCTGACAATATGAAGTGGTAAATTTGGGTTTACTACACCTAACCTTTATTGAACAACAAAAGACTGTTCAATTTCTATGTGCAATTAAAATGAGAATGTAGCTTTCTGTGGTGGACATTAAAATATCTTTATAAATATCTGAAAAGATGCTGTTCAATTGATTCTATAAGACAGGAGCCTGACTCATGACAGCCAATTAATTATCACAATCAAAGGAATTCTAGACAAACTACCTTCACTGTTAATGTGAAGTCTAATTAAAATTCATGTCCCATAATTGACTTTCAATTATGATAAGAGTATGCAAGGTCATTAGAACATAGTAAGAGGCTGAGACAAAAGCAGTCCCCTAGCTACTTGGTGACAGTTCAAAAGTGTTGTCATGCTTTGTGAAGAACTGTTCTTCAAATTACAAATTACAGTTCAGTGTCTCTGTGTGAACTGTGAAGTCATGACAGCAGCAATAATTTTCTGGTTTTCTAGCTTATTTTAATGTGGTACAGCCCCATGATTGAGTGTTTCCAAATCAGAAATTCTGTTCCAATTAAATGCAAACTATATCAAAGCTCTTCAGGTCTGGTTTAAGAATTCTCGGTCTATACTTAATTTTATTATAAAATGAACCATCACCATTAGGCTTCAAGGTAAGCTACTGCAATTAAAGTGGCAATAGATTTTACCTGCTTTCAATTCTCCCCGTGCTGATTTTCTAATTTTTAAGTTGTGTGCGTGTGTGGTCTTGATCAACTGAATAACTGAGTCACTTTTAAAGACAATCAGCTCAGAGACTGACAGCAGCATATATGAAACAGTCACTCATTTCCCCTAAACTTTATATTACAAAGAATTTTTTCTCCCCAGAACGGAAAAAAAAGTCTGATAAAATTGAAGAGGTTATTGCTAACTCATCTGTGTACATCTATGCTATAATTAAAAAGTAACACTTTATCATCATATAATTCCCCTAAACTTTGGTCACTCACAGACAGAATAGTATAAATCAGAAATTACCCAGTCTTCAGTAAAAAGAAAATGAAAAAAACAGATTTGGGATGTGTTTCAGTATTGTGTGCTGATTAAAGCGTTTGGCTTAGAGAGACCAGGTTCAAATCCTCATTTAGTAATGAAACATGCTGAGCGATCTTGGGCCAGTCACACTCTCACAGAATTGCTGTGAGGAAAAAGTGATGAAAAAGAGACCTATGTACAGTATAACATTTTCAGCTGATTGGAGGAAAGGTAGGATGTGAGGATAACAAATAAATAGCTCTGAAGAAGCTCTAAGTACTTACAACTATGGCAGCAGTATTCTGAGGTAGCAGAAACTTTTTACCTTCTCCAAACACAGCCTTAGTACAAAGCACATTGAAGTGATTAACCATATGTTTACCAGATCTGTGTAGCCTTGGGCAAACTGCACAGTTCTAGAGTGTCAAGAGAAGAAACGGGTGATAAACCACTTCTGAATACTTCATAATCAGAAAACCTTGGTAAGGATCACTGTAGGTTAGGATCAAGTAGATGGCACATCATCATCATAACTGCATGTACGTACTTCTTTCTCAATATTATTGATGCTTGGGGGGGGTGAACTCAATGGTCAAGTTGGTTGTTGTGGGTTTTTCTTTGGCCATCAGACCCCGCCCGTGAAAGCCTTCAAGAATACATTCAATGATCAAGCCTAAAAATAGGAGTTAAGTTCTAAAGCTGTATGGGTGAAGTGACATATTTGCAAAATCACCAATATTTGAATTTCAGGAAGCAAATTACCAACTATTGTCAATTGCTTTAGACTATTTGTCGACCATTTTGGAACAAATCCAGTTGCTGAAATTAGGGAAGATGCTCTGATCTTTCATCCGTTTCTTTTTTTATTTCTTACCTTAATGTTTGATGCTTGTGAGAGTGCTTGTTGATGGAACACTCACTTCAATAAGGTATATTTCTCTTTGTTGCTTATCCAGTAGTATAATGTCCAGCTTACTAAAATTAACTGTTTTATCTGTGATAACATGCTTGTGCCAGTATGGTTTAGCAGTTTCATTTTCTAAAATTGGAGGTGGCTGGAATTCACAATATGGAGAAATATGTGACTAATTTGTAAGATTTAGTAATTGGTGAAAAACGATGTTAACAACTTGCTCATGCCTTCATGTGCAATCTGTTGATGCTAGCTTGAGGCACCCAGCTATGGTGTGATGAATTGTTTCTTTGTATTTGTAACAGGCCCTACATATATCACATCTTGCTTCATGTATAGAAGATGGCTTTGATCACAAAGAATAACTGGAGCATCATTTTTTCAACTTTACCATGGCATGTGATACTGTCCACCATTGACTGCTGCTCAAAAAGCTCTACCTCCTTACTAAATATCATAGACTAATAGAAATGGCCACTGTTCTATTTAAAAACTGAAGAATCTTTGTTGAATTTCAAGGGAGGCAGGGTTGCTGGAAGAACCAAAGGATGAACCACAGGGTAGAGCCCTCACACCATTCCTTTTTGACATTTAAACAAATGACCACCCTACATTCTCATACTCCAGGAGTTTCAGTCCTGCTGGTGATCCTGCCCTGACAGTCTGGGGGAGACCTTTGAGTCCACCGAGCACCAGTGAACCTCTGCATCAGGAGATCATTCCTTATACTATAAAAACTACCAGCTGAAACCGAACTAGTTAAAAATTCAAGTCTGTGCCTTCCATTAAAAAACAAAGAAGGCGAGAGGAAGCTCTGAGTTAGCTGAGAAGGTGAAATTTTTGGAACATTGCTGTACCTCAAAAGTATTTGGGTGTCAATCTGGATTTCTGGATCGAACAACGTTGTTTGAACATTGTCTAAAATAACAG